GCTAGAGTTCGGACTAAGCTTATAAACAACAGGAACTGATACGTGACACAATACTCACAAAAACTTTAATATTTCATCCCTTGTGATGCTCATAGAACTAGGAAACAAATTGTTTGGCAAGTTTTGCAAACAGTTAGATAAATGTGACATAAACTCTATTCGTCTTCCACACCCCATCCAAAACCACCTGGCCGTTCCTCTTCAGGGACAGGATCTGCCTGTCGTTCATCAAATATCCATTTCAACCAGCCAGGGGTCACTAGCAAGCGTGTACCATGCTGTTGGTAAGGGAACACGTCTTCCAGGAAAAAGTAGAAATGTCCGCAAGCGATACCTTAAACAAGTAGAGATACGTCCACATAAAAGATCTTGAGATTGAACTTGGTCGGAAAAAAACCCGATGTTTTGGCTCTAGAGGCTTACTCGAAAAGCATAACAAAATGGGAAGACTAGTCAATCGAAGAATAGTCAAGCATAAAAAATGAAGTCAAACTTCAGATTTACCCATGAAATCCACTATCGCATTGTTCCCTAGCAAAAGTGAGAAAAGCAGTAGAACCCAAGGCAGGTACGGCGCCGTGAAGGACAACACTCCAAAGAAGTTCATCTGAAAAAAAATTAAGTCGTGAGTTACGAGTAAACTGCCAATACAAGTAAGAAGCCGAATCCCTTTGAACATACCGCTTGCGCACATACAAACTAAAACCTGCGCGTTTTGAGTTTTCCCTTTTCCTAGTTCTCTGTAGGTAAATCTAAGCCCAATCGAATAAAAAAATTTGTCTGATTTACATTCACACGATCTCTCACATAACAGTGACCTAAAAGCAAGATCATACTACGCCAAGTCATCCTCCCTTCTTCGCCTGTTTCGCTCATTCGGCTATTCAAATATGCATCGGATTTTGGCCGTCAGTTGTGTTTTTCGCTTAATCGGTCTTTTCACCGGTAGCCCCTTATGCACTATCGAGCTGAGATTTGTTTTAGGCAAAAATTCAATGAGAACTTCGTTGTTTCGCTATATTGCCGTAAAGCCGTTACCCTGACAGGAAAGACGACTAAGGCATAGTTTGACCCTAACGCAAATGGATGCGAGGAGAGAATACAGAATTGAAGATCTTTTAAAGTCCTCATTTCTCTGTAATGGTTCAGATAAAAGAAGTAAAACTTCAAGAATTTGAAAGAAAAAAAAAACTTGGATAACTCGCGCTCTGCCAGACGGGGATGTATGATATAGCCATACCGATATGAAAACCAAAATAAATAAAAAAAATCTTGAAAATTAATAATCTTTTACCTAGATCTGTATTTTGCTTTTACTATTTTATTACCATTATTTTGAATTAACTTTCGGATAACATCCTCACCATTTAATCAAATGCAAGTTGCGCTTTACGCTCATGTCGTACTTCAATTCCCCTTGCTATATAGTATCGACCGTACATCTAAGCTTACTGCCCAATGCTGGATCCGCAAGGATTCAACCAATATATCAGTGTGACGAAAGTCCAAAATGTGTTTGAGTTTTGTCTTAAGCAGCTGGCTGGTGCGGGCAGATGTAGCTCATTCTATCTCTTGCTTTTCTACTATAGGAGAGGTAGGTATTTTCTTCCACATCTCTCAATTTTCCCTCTTCTGCTCACTTAGTCATCATGGTTTTTGTTTCTATCCTTTTTGGTATTTCTGTTCTATATTCTTACTTTGACCATTTGTTATGGGCT